TAATTTGGACCGCACCCTGCAGGATAGTGCCATACTGCCATGTGGGGGAGTTGGGAACCAACCACGGTGTTTCGCAGGCTGACCGTACGGTCGGATCTACCAAACAACAATGCTATTACTACAATTTAATGGAAGATTATAAATTTATTATCATAATATAATATTAAATAAATATAATTTTATATTAAATAAATAAATAAATTATATTTTAATTAACATTTTAAATAAAAAATTAATTATGTAATAACATATCATATTATAAATTTATAATATTATATAATATTATCATCATAATATTTTAAAATTACAAATACTTTTTTAATTTTATTTTTTTATTAAATCCCCATTTTGATCTCTACTTTGATAAAAAAAAAATTTTTACTTTAAAAAAACCCTTTATTAGTCCCTAAAATTTGAAATCTTACCATTTTTTGTCCCCATTAAGTTTTGTATACCTTGCTTAGATAACAAAAATTTTAAAGTCGAAAAAACCAAAAAAGGGTAAAAAAAGATTTTAAAAAATCCCAATTTGATCTTTCTACTTTGGAGAAAAGCCTTTTTTTTTAGTCTATCTCTTTAAAATCTCTATCATTTAATGTCAAAATTTAATGAAATGATTAAAAAGGAACTGAATTTCAAATTTTATAGGCCAAAAAGGAGTTTTTTAAAATTAAAAAAAAAAAACTAAAAAAGGACTTTTTGTCAAAGTAAAAAGACCAAATTGAGGTTTTAACCTTTTTTTTTTTTTTTTAATGTTATGATACATTAGCATTGATAAATCCGGAATACAATAACAGATATATTAGCATTGATAATGTTGCATTGAAAGCTACCCATATCATGATATATATGCATCGATAAATCCAGAATACAATAACAGAAATCGAAAGAAAACACCGAATAATAACAGTGAACAAGCAGTTAAACTTAAACTCCTACTTTTTAAAGAGAAAATTAGAAGATAGGGACCATGAAGTGTGTAAGCAAAGCAGGAGATGCGTTACTCATCATCCTTGTAGGGATACTCCTCCGGAACTTGCTTCAGAAGTTTCACCTGCAACTCATAGGCATCATCCCCTCGAAGCATATCACGCAGCCAAGTGACTTCTGTCTTCATTGACACCTGAAAAGAGGGAGGAATACATTATAACTAGAGAGAAATTGATTTGGGGATCATGCCTGGTGCTTGCACCATATGAAAAAGTAAGCAATATCTGCATCCTATTCTTTATGATCTTTGTTTTCTTAATTACTGCCAAGTGAACGATTTCAACGTGATAAATATGGAATATTGAAAAGCAGTAATCAAGTACTTTCCAACGCACAGTATTGCCTTTGCCTGTGATGTGGATTTTTAAAATCAAACTTTGTCCTAGAAGTAAATCTACAAGATTTTTATCTAATTACGGTGAACTGTCCTGCTAATCTATTTGAGAATGTTATGTAGGAGGATGTAGAAGCGTGACAATAAGCTTTGGTCAAATGCAGAGCCAACCACAGAGAAAAAAGAAAGAGACACAATTTTACAAATATGTGAGGTGGCATCCATGTCATTGATGTTTTAATAAAATGGATGAAACTCACCATTTCCAGAGCTCCTCTAATGACCCCACTTAATACGTTGCAATAGTAGAGACCCTGACATGTATCAGGCAGCTCAACAAAGTCTACCAAGGGATTGTCCTCCAAAACAATGCTGCAACATGTCCCATCAGCATCCCAATTTGTCACAGATGCAGTGACCCCTAAGAACATCTTGAAACCAACCTGTAACAAAGCTTCATTAGGGACTGTAAATGAAGGCCCGTTTCATACTTATTCATTGGATAATTAAGGGGGTATATAAATGGCTTTTGAACAAAAATGTCAAGTTAATATCTCAAACCAACCATATTTCTATACATAATACTATATAGAAAACAAAGATGTTCATTTGAAAAGTAAAAGAATAATAATACACCTTTGCAATCACTTCTGCTGTCTCCTTGAAGTCAACACATCTGGACACGTTAGATTTTGCCAGAAACTCATCAATCAGTCGAATGCCAATATTATAGCCCCTGTGAGGTAATCAAGTTGTTGAATGAATGTAGTCTAATTTCGAAATAACAAACTCATCCTAGATAAAGACAATGTCACAATGAAACATCAAAAAGAATTAAGACCTTCTGAAATCATGTTACAAGTATTGCACCACTCTGTTCCAAGGGAAAAATAGTCCAGGGATGATAAATCAAAGCACACAAAGTAAAACCATGGTGAAATGAAAGATAGCACTGTCCGGATGAACAGAGTGAAACACAGGGATACACGAACAAACATGCACGTGTGCACTGGTGCAAACACAATTATTTGAATGTAATTATATATAATCCAAAAAAAAAAGGATAAGCGAATTTTGTATCTCTATAAGTAATTTCCATTTGCAACAATTCTTAAGAGATATCACTGCATCATTAAAAGAACAACCTTACAAAGATCAAACCTCCAAAAGAATTGAATTGCACAATAAACACCATCAATAACTATTAATAAAACTAAAAACCAAGAGCATAGAGTCTGAAGTATACATCTGATCAAGCTGTTTGTTGACTTCCTCGACCTCCTCTAGATCCGTAAGCAATTGACGCACAATTGCACCATAAGTCAAGGTAAACAGCTCCGCATTCTACATCAATTCAATTTCAAAGATTAGAAACACACACTAACCATCAATAAGAGCATAATAATCCATTCGTTTGCCCAAAAAAATGCATCAAATGAAATGAAATCAGACGAAACTATCAGATTCCACATAAATAGATATGCGTTCACTGCAATTTTCTCCAAAAGCAAAAGAATTAACACCTCAGACGATCTGCCATCACTACTTGTTCTTCTCATATATTTTCTCGGAAACCAAACAGAG